GTGGGTGGGGGGTGGGCCGTGGCCGTGGGTGGTTTGTGGGCTGTCGGGGCCGTGTCACGCGTGTGGCCCTGGGACAGGTCTGGGAAGTGGGTCGGAGCCAGGGAGCGCGGGTTGCTGTGCCCCGCGGATCTGGAGGAGTCAAAGCGCTGCTCAGGGTAAAGCTGCCACCCGCCAACACCTCTGCGGGCTGTCAGACCCGCCGGGGACCCTCGCGGGACCGTCCCCGCTCTGGGCTGGGGCAGTGGGAGGACACAGCGATTGATTCTGGATCGCCCGGGGCCGCGGGGAAAGGCAGGTGACAGGGCTGTGCTGGTGACAGCTGTGGTGTGTGACTGGTTCCTGGCCGGCTCCTTTTCTTAGTTCGTGTCCTGGAAATCTACCATTGATCTGACAAACAACGGCGAATAGTTTTTTTATTCCTTGCTGCTGGTTCACTAGTACCCAGGGATTTATTTTCTGTTTGTTTTTTTTTTTTTTTTTCCAGGGATTTATTTTCTGTTTTTTTTTGTTTTTTTTTTTCCTAGTTTGAGAGACTACAGTAGGAGTTAAATGTTAGTAACAGTTCATATCTGGCTAAAGTTATGCACTCGTGTTATTGGAAATATTAACCTCCAGTTCATATTTCCTCTGCTTTATTTCATGTTGAGCAGGAGAATTATTTGTGTTGTGTTACAGGTCTTGTAATTATGAGATCTGCCAGTTTGAGGACCAGAATCTTAAATTCCACTGAGCATCCAGTAAATTCTTCTAATCCTCTAAGGAAATGGTTTCCTGGTTTAGAAATTTCAAGGCAGGGTGTTTAAAGTGTTGTCTAAGTAGGAAATAACCTGACGTTCAAACATGGGTCATTCAAACATAGGTATTTATTACGACAGTCCTTTTTAGGTAGTATTTATTGACATCAAGGAGATTTATAGAAAGACAATATGCTTGTTGCATTTTCCCTTTCTTAACAGTTCCATAGGAAAATGAAGCATTTGGGAGATTTGATATATTCTTTAGATGCGTGATGGCTGGGTAGGGAGTGAAGTAGTAGGTAAGCAGTGAGAAAATAATAGTTCTGGAGACTTAATCTGTTGTGTTAAAAGAATTTGAGCAAAAGTCGTATTTGGCTAGTGAACAGCTTGTTGCTCAGTGCTGTATATGAGGAAGGCATTGGTGCAGCTGTAACCAAAGCTCCATCCATCTGGCTTTTGTTGACAGGAATTGGGTAAATATGGTCTGTGTACCAGCTGCATATTTCAAAATTCCCAGTGAATTAGTGGAAGGAAGGCTTTGATGTACCAGGGATGCTGGAATAAGCTCTGTAAATACGATGCTCTGAGAAGTTTCAGAAATTCTCGTGAGATGTGGAGAAAAAACAACCAGCCAACCAAACAGCTTGGTCAAGTGTTGAAGAAAGCTTGTAAATCAGCCTGTGTTGTGGTAAAAATGTTTGACATCTACTTGAAATGTTTCTGTCCTTTTCTAGTATCTGTCATTCATCACTCTTTACTACCCCTTGGATGCTCACATTAGGACTGATGACTAAAGGAGGGGAATGTGGCCAGCTGTGTTGTCTTCCAGAAGATGGAAAGACTGCTGTCCACATCAAACACAGGAGGTCTGAATGAGGCTTGAAAACCACAGCCTGTCAGCTCGTTTCTCTGCTGTGAAAATATTTGCAGTTGCATTAGTGCTGCCCAGGCCTGTTGCTTGGCGTGCTCTAGGGCACGGACATGATGGCTCGCTCTGTTCCCTAAAAGAGAAGCTGGGAGCTATTTGAATCACTTTCCTGAGGTCTGATGGTGGATTTTTGAAAGAAAATTTTAGCACATGTACTGTTGTTCCCTTGGATTGCTTTGACGCTTTCGGTCTTGTTCCCTTGTTTATTCCTTCCTCTGTTTTTCAGGTACAAAAACTGCTTTGTATGTGTCCAGTGGATTTCCACGGTATTTTCCAGTTAGACGAACGTCGCAGAGATGCTGTTATTGCTTTAGGAATCTTTCTAATTGAATCTGACCTTCAGGTATTTTTCCCACTTAGGCTAACTCTATTAAACTTGAAAGATTTTTGGTTAATTCAAATTTAGTTGTTCACTGAACGAAAAGTTGGTACTTTCTCTTCATAAAAATAAACAAAGAGATCAGAGATAACAGAGGGATGCAGGCAGGAGAGCACAGGGAGACAAGGACAGTACTCACTAGTATGATATTAGTCGTGGCACTGCCACAGCCAAACTGCTCTCCTTTTTTTTGGTTATCATAGCTTAAGGAGAGAAAGGAAAAGCTATTCAGGAGGATTTGCTCAAACTCTGTGTGTCAGTGCATGTTCTTCCCCGCCTATGTCTGAATGACAGGTGTGCTCCAGCATCTTCCTGAGCGTCAGGTTTGTAACAGCCCTTTCCACGCCTGGCGCTAGCCAGAATAAAAAGACAGGCAGCACACACATAGGCTGCCTTGTGTACGAGCATCCCTTTTGTGTCTGTCAGCCTGTTTATGACAAGCTGGTTCTCTTCCCTTGAGCCTCTGGGCGTGGTATTGTTTTGTGCAGAGGAAAGGAAGGATATACAGAGTCCTAGGTCCAAAGTCATTAGACCTCGCTGTAGGTCGTGTAATGTTGGTGGGGTTTGCACCAGACCTGAACATCCTTGTGTTTAGTCTTTAATTACTGTGATACAGCTTGCATGCATATTATTGATGTTGTTCTTTTTGCCTTTTTTTTAGTATGAAGTTTAAATGAGGCAGCTGTATTTGTGTTTCTCAGCGTTTTCAAAGCCAGCAGCTAGTATTAATTACTTCAACTCTATGAGGAAGGAAAGTGCTGTCCTTTGATTTGCAGATTAGGCAGCTGAAGTGTTACACAGATGTGGAAGTGACTTGCGTAAGGCTGTGGGATGGATCACATGTACTGCATTGGGACTGGCACTGAATTTCTAGCTGCCTTGAAGTTATTTTGTAGCCTTGCTGTAAACAAATAGAATTTTTTCAGTCAATACTGCTCTGTAACTTTTTTCTCCAACTTTTGTGGAGAATGAACTGTTGCCTAGAATGAAAGGATTGGATTTGTAGCACTGAATTGGTTTGATTTAATTGCCTGTGTTGAAATCAACTTTGCAATATTCAAGAAGCCTGTGGAGTAATTATTAGAAGCAAGTTCTGTGTGTGGCTAATGTAGCCTGTCCATATCTCTAAAATAACCTGAGATGATAAGATTCAGCTTTTCTTCTCCGTTTTAAATAGAGTATTTTCCTCTGTAGCACAAAGATCACGTGGTTCCTTACCTCCTCCGTCTTCTGAAGGGTCTTCCCAAAGTCCAATGGATAGAAGAAAGCAATGCCCGGAAAAGCAGAGGTGATGTTCGGGTTTTTTGATCATTCTCATGGAATGCCAGCCAGGAAATAGAAGCAGCAGAGGTTATTCAGGACATGGGGCAAGGGGAGGTGATAGAGGTCCTGTGAGATTCTTAGCTCCTGACTCAACAGCCGTTAATATTGATTTTCTTTAGAAGCAAAGAGGAAGTTGAATAGCTCCCAGCTTTCTTGCTTGACTGCTTTGTGATAAATTGCACTTTCTAAATAGTTCTACACTCAATATATTTTGTTCCTAAATTGTAGAAGTTTGTGTAGGAGTTAGAGCAGGAGAGTGGAACCTGAGATTTATGTGCTCTCCTTTTAGCTTTGATGCTTAGTTGCTATTTAAACTACTTCATTTCTTGCTCCCTTAATATCTCTTAAAATTAATATGAGAATACCTTTTTACAAGGGCTATTATAAAATTTAATATTTTTTTTCAATTACATGAAAGCCTGGAAAATTTTTAATTATTAAAATTGCTCTTTTACCATTTCATGTTGAAATTATGGTGGTTAGAGTGTATTTCTAAATTTTGTATGTAGTGCCATGTTTTTCTACAATCTGTCTCAGAACAGCATGACATGGGAATCACCTACATAGTGTTGCTTTGTTTTTATTTGCTCTTCCTATGTTGATTCTCTGTAACATTTAAGAGGCTTATTTTCTGTTTGTTACTTTGCAGGCTTGCTTCCAGTTGCAGAAAACTTCAGCTTCTGCTTGGTAACGTTGTTATCAGACGTTGCTTACATGGATGCCTCTCTCAGAGAGCAGGTAGAGTTTTAAGTTTTTGCTAATGTAGCACCCAGTTCTTCAAGGCTGCAATGTTGACAAATGTTTAGAGAAGAGTACACTGCAGCTGCTTCCTTTTTTGCAGAAGGTTTGATTGCTTTAACGAGTGTACTGTTGCATTATTTTGCTTGTGTTCATTAATAGTCAGTTATGTAGGAAGATATTCATAAGTCTGCTGTTACTTCTAGGTGTCAAAGGATGTCAGTTGCTGAGCCTGGAGTTCTAGAATTCAAATTTTCATACTGAGATTAAGACTGCTGCAATTTTATTCTACTAGTACAGACCAGCTAACTGCAGACTTTAAGTGAAGGCAATATACTTTTTCAGTCACACAGAATTAAAAAAAATCTTGTTTACTGAGGTGCTTATGTTAATATTTGCAAATTTCATTTGTTGTAGTGACGTGGTATAAGATAATGATATCTCTTTACCAAAAGACATTTTTGTATGTCTGTCTTGATTACTTTAGATTTTGGATGCAATTCTACAAGTAATGCAGTTCCTGTTGGGAATGTGCCAGACCTTGCAAATGCATGATAAAGGTACTATGAAAATTGTTCTGTATTTGTAAATCCTGTCCGCTGACCTTCTCTTGTGTTTTCTGATTATCGGATCACTCCTTAAAAATGAGCAGCTTTTTCTTTTGGCTTTCCTTAGCACATATTTATTTGTTGCAGACTGACAGAGAAGCAGGAGAAGTGTATTAATTTGCGATACCTTCTTGGTATTTCCTCTACTTGCACAAATAAGTCTTTGTAAAGCACACTTGTCTGAAACAGTTTAGTGAAGTGGTAGCAATACCATGAAGAGTAAGTTCTAAGTTGCTGTTAATATACTTTTATGTGTGTTTTTCAGAATATTTATGCAAGTATGCAGTACCCTGCCTGATAGGAATTTCTCGAGCCTTTGGTCGCTACAGCAATTCAGAGGAAGCTCTCCTTTCAAAACTTTTTCCAAAAATTCCCCCGCATTCCCTGAGAGTCCCAGAAGAGCTTGATGGAATTCGCCGACGATCCTTTAATGATTTCAGATCAATTCTTCCCAGTTCTCTACTCACTGTTTGCCAAGAAGGAACACTAAAGAGAAAAGCTAGCAGTGTGTCTAGCATCTCGCAGGTTTGTATGACTTGCTCTGTGTTGGAAGTCAGTGTTTAGATGATTTTGTGGTCTTGGTGCAGTTAGGACAGCATTAAGCCTGGATATGCAGGCAGTCTCTTAACACATTATTTGACTAGATGCAGAGATATTTATTTTGGTTCTGCAGCTGAGTTTTAAAATAATTTTCTAGTTTGTGAGCTGCAGAATAATCAGTGACAGCTAAACTGACAACTGTACTAATAAGTCTTCGCACGGAACAACCAGCAAATCCTATTCCTTGTGTTATTCTTGTGAAAAAGCATTGTAATATATATCTGAGAGTTTGGGAAGCTGGCTCTTAGTGGCTAAAGTTTTCAGGAGTGCAGAGATTACATGAGCTCTCACTGGTTTCACCAGGAGCTGTCGGTGTTTGTTGTCTCGGGAAGAATGGATTCAGATGCTGGTTTTGAAACCGCAGATTGTTCTTAGCATAGTTACATACAGTACAGGAGTCATCATTCTGATCTCTTCCCTTTAGTCAAAAGCCCTGAATTAGCTTTTTGTAACTTCCTATTTTTGGTTGGAATTGAGCTGTTAGACCCAGCAATATGTAGTTCCTGTTGGTTTTGCTTGAAGCTGTGTTCAATTTAAAGTGTATGAAATATTCCCTGGAAGATTTTTTTAATGTTTTATAAATAGTTTTTTAAATTATGACTTTGTGTGATGTTTCAGGTTAGTCCTGAACGTGGAATTCCCCCTCCCAGCTCTCCTGGAGGATCTGCAATTCATTACTTTGAAGGTAAATTATTTTTGCAAAGGTAGAGTGTGTGATTTGGGGGGTTTGTTGGTATTTATTGGAAAATGAAAAGCAAATCCTTTTGACACCTTTTTCTGCCCTGTACAATTCTTATAGTAATTCTCTGGCATGTACCTGCTAGGATTCTGAAAAATTTTGAAGTATAAAAGACAATAGGAAGTTATCGTTAACACCAGTGGTTTCCAGGCTCAGTTGTTTGTGGCACTGAGAAAGACATGGTTTCCTGACTGCTAGGCTGTGCCTAGCACTAAAGAGCTTAATTCAGCTAGGCCAAAAATATTTCAGGGGATTAGGCTGAGGAACTTTGAGGAACAAGTGTTAATATTGTGCTTCACTAGACAACTACATTGTTGGACCAGGGTCTGGAATTTTGAGACCTTTTGGCACATTGTATAAATCTAAAACAATGACTCCATTTGGTGTGAACGTGATATGGGTCATGGTGTGAGACCTAGTGATTTGCTGAAGTGAGAAATAATAAAGGAAACACTGGAGTTGAGTGCTCACTAGTGTGTGTTAATTACTGTATCATAAAAGGCAGAAATGTGAAAAATTTTCATGAGTTAATATGTAAACTCTTAACCACTGGGTTTTGGTAGAGCTCTAGTCGTGAGTTCTGTGTCAAAGCAGAGCTTAAAAATAGACTTTAATGAATCGATGGAGAACTAGCTCTGCATCTGAGGTGTTCTGGTGTCTCTGGTTTTGTCTGGCCCTTTGAGGTTTTTAACATTTGGGCATTCTCTGTTTCTGGGTCATTCTCCTCTCCAGAGCCCTGGCTTAAATTAATTTCTTCCACATTACTTTTCTTTTTCCTTCATGTTAGTATTTGTAGAGACATCTGTCTTCCTCAATCATATAATGGGATTGCAGGGTAATTCAAATATCATTCTTAAATTGCCAAGCAGGAAGAGACCTGTTTGTCATCCGTCTACCCCATTGAACCAACCCGTAGTTCTTCAATTTATGGTCTTTGTGTTTTGAATTTAAAAAAAAAAGCTGCAGGTTAGAAAGAGGCTGTAGTAGGAGAACAAAAATCATCTTGATTAAAACTACAGGTGGATAATGGACAACTTTTGTAAAAATTTTGGAATAATTGTGTCTCTAGCAGAGTTATGATTATTCTAATTAGGATTTTATTTTCAATACTAACTTCTACCAGATATTTCAGATACAAGCAGCCCTTGTATTATTTCCAAGAATATAGTTTGTGATAGTCTTATTTTCTGAAGAAGATGAGTAATGGCCTTGTTTTTATTCTGGCCAAGGCTAACAGTTTAGAAAAATGGACTGAAAACATTTAGTGGGTGGTGTTGTCAATAAAAAGTGTTGCTTGAAAGCCTGTTAATCCGAAGAACATTACTTTAGCACAGGCAGCTGTGTACTTTAAAGAGGCAGATATGTATTTTCTAAAGCAAAAACAGTGCCAAAGCAGTATGCTTAGCAAGTTTTTTGCTTAAAAGAGTATTTGAATCTGAAAAATAATTTGATTTCTCTTTACCTTCGAATCACAGTAGTGAATGGTTGCCTCTTCTAAGGCGAAAGCTGTGCCATGTGTTCATTTGTTTTAATATAGGGGAAAACCTTGCAAGATAGTTTTGACTTAACCTGTTTTTTGTACCTCTGCTTTTGACCAAAATGGTGTTTATAAATGCTTTCAGGTCAATGAACATCTGTAGCATGGGGAGACTTCTTATCAGCAGTGTCTCTGGCATGAACACAAGTTGTTGAAATTAATTCTTCCATTGTGATTGCAAACTTCTAACGATCAAGTGCATTTTTTCGTCATAGTTTTCTGCTTGATTTACCAGTAGATTAGCTGAAATGCTCCTCTTGATAGCTTGCAAGTTACAGACTGTGCCTGTGTTGGAAATAACTCTTTAGTAGTAACTAAACATTACACTTAAACAAAGTTTTTATATCCTTTCTCTCCCAAAACTTTTGTTTCTGTTACTTTTTTCTGATCAGGTTCCTATCTTCCCGATGGGAGTGCACTGGATCCTGATTATTACTTCTCTACAATCAGCTCCAGCTTTTCAGTTTCTCCTCTCTTCAATGGCATTAACAATAAAGAGTTTAACATCCCGCTGGAAATGCTCCGTCAGCTGTTGAACATGGTATGTGATGGGTTCTTCTGAAGGCTGCAGTGAGATTGTGTTCTAGATGTTCACACTAGATATAGATGCAGTTTAAGCTTTTAGAATTGTGAATAAAAATATTATGTTTGTCTCTCAAGCTTTTTGTAATACTGTTTTTATGGCATTTAGCATGATGCTTCACAAGTATTTCTAAAAAGCTCTCATATGAACCATGAAGAATTTGGAAAATCAAGTAAGTTTATATGAATTTCTTCCTGTTTTCTACAAGGGTTTAGTTGCTGGGAATTCACACAAGTGAAAGAAAGTACTGGCCCTGTCTGCTTCTGCACCAGCTGTTTTGGAACAGCACACAGAGGCTCAAACATTTGTTCTTATTGCTGTTGGAAATCCATTTGTTTTTTTTTTTTTCTTCCGTAGGTAAAACAGATTGTTGGGGATTCTCTGCTAAAGACCTTAGATGCAGTTGTAGCAGACATTGCAGAGGTATGTTTTTAGATTCCTTTTCTAGTGACTTGAATACTTAATTTTTTTTCTTTGCACTGGGAAAATTAGTCTTTTACCTGTGTAAGGTGTGCCTTCTCTTTGCAAAATGGTACTAATTACCTGTTTGAACTGTTCTTTCAGTGGTTTAAATCTAGCCTTGGACTGTGTGAAAAATGGCGAAGTGAAGGAGGAATGTTTTTTACTAACAAAGAAGGAAATAGTTGTTCTCTTAAAGAATGAGCCATTTTCTTACTTTAGTTATGTTACCCTGCTAAAGTACAGCATTGGTTGCCCAAACTGTTTTACTGTAGACTAAGGTCCTTATTGCATATTACAGTAACATTTGTCTTTTTTTTAATGTAGGTAAGATGTGTTGGTTGTTTTCTTTTTCTGGCTTGGAAATGGCTGCTGCTCTTTTAGGTGTCATTTCTACAAGTTTAATAGCAGTGTTACTGTTTGTGGACCTTTCCCTTCAGAGGTGGCAGGCTTGTTTCTGTAGGTCTGTGAGTCTTTCTTCTCTGCTTCCCTGGGTGCAGTCTGTAACAGCCTGCACCGCGGAGGCTGTTTTACGGAGTTAGCCTCATCTCCGTGGGGGTGTAAAGCTGTGTTGAGAAGAGTGTGTGTTCAGTTGTGTGGGAAGATGACCTTGCTGTTCTCTCCAGCCTTCCTTCAAGTACTGTGGTATTTGAAATGTAGGTCTAAGCGCAGACGCCTTCAGTTTCTCTTTGTGCTATCTCAGTAAAATGATTCGTTTGAATCCTCTTGGTTTTGGGTGGTTTTTTTTTAACATTTTTTTGAATGCTTGTTTACATTGTGGAGGAAAACAATTATGTGACTGGAATAACATTTATTTACCTGTATAATTTTGAATCTAGCAGGTTGCTTCTTTTCTCTTTCAGACGGGTGCTAATTCAGATCTCTATTATAAAACATTCAGTGACCCTCTTTATCTTGCTCAGTTTAAAATGCTGAGAGACACACTATACTATATGAAAGGTATAGTATTTGTATTTTTTTTTTAATTTTCTCCTTCATTATGTTTAGGATCCAAAGCATTGTCTGCATTGTATTGAGTGTTTAAACACCAGGGATTGCATTTCCTGGGAACTCCACATACACTATAAAATGTGTATTTTGAAATGTTTCCATATAAAACAGGTGCTCTGTAAATAGAAAAACCCCGTATTTTTAGCAACACTAAAAGGATTAATAGAAGGCATTTCAGTTGTCTGCTTACTGGTGGACTTTGCCAAGAATTTTTTTTTTTAGGTAGGGGATAAACCATATGAAATAATTTAATTTATAAAACAGCAATTAATTTTATATATGCTGTCATTCTGATACACTGACTTCCTTCCTTTGATTTCTTTAGACCTTCCCAACTCGTTTGTGAAGGAAATCCATGATTTTGTGCTAGAGCAATTCAACAGCAGTCAATCAGAACTGCAGAACATCCTTCATGATGTGGATCGACTGCACAATGAACTGAGTCCTTTAAAACTGCGTTGTCAGGCGAGTGCTGCCTGTGTGGATCTCATGGTGTGGGCCGTGAAAGATGAGCAAGGTAAAACATGCTCTTCAGTCTCTGGAATGTCCCTTTTTTTTTTTTTTTTTTTTTTTTTTTTTTTTTTTTTTTTTTTTGAGTTGTAGCTAAGGTCCCTGAGAGTAGATGGTGCTCAGACGAATATAAAATAAATTTCAGTGGAATACTATTGCTATTAGAATACAAGAGTAAAACTTCCATTAAAAAGTTGTCAAATTAGTTGGCTGGGTAGTTAGACATCTCTATAGAAATGGAAAAGAAAACATACAATTGGTTTATCTAAAAGAAGTGATGTAATTACTGCATTACATGCAGCTGTGTATTTTCTAGTTTATTTTATCTTTTAAATTGTTGCTCTTGGTGTCTTAAATGTTTCTCCATCATTCTTTTAAAGAAAATGTTTTTTCTTCATTGCTAACAGGATTGGGAAGCTCTCACTTTTTCTCAGTTTTTTTTGTTGTATAATTCTTACACATACTCTGAATACATGAAGGGTTTTTTCCTTTGGATCTTGCAATACTTAATTTCTGCCAAATGTGAAGTATGCTCAAAATCAGCTTTTAAGTACTGTAATTCTTTCAGTCATAGTGTTTGTTGTGGTTTTACCCTGGCTAGCAGCAAACACCACACAGCCGCTCGCTCACCCTCCCAGCTCCTGGGGCTTGGGGGAGAGAATTAAAGGGGTAAAGAGAAAAGAGACTTGTGGGTTGAGAGAAGAACAATTTAATAACTAAACTACAATAAAATGGTAAATAATAGCAATGTATACAAATATACAAATGAGTTATAAATAGTGCAGCTGCTCACTACCCAATGGCAAAAGCTCAGCCTGTTCCAATCTAACAATCCTGGAGCAGAGAGAGTCCTGAAACTGCAATCCCAGAAAAGAGACAAGAGCCTGAGCTGACTGAGAGACTGAGGTGACCCAGAGAGAGACCGAACATCCAGACACAGCCCTATCTATGTACAGGGCATAACATGCATGATATGGAACATGCTACTGGAACATACATCCTAAACCTAAAGTCGAATCCTAAGCCAGTAGTGTGGGCTGTGCTTCCTCCTGGCTTCTCCTGCACTTGCAAACATGGGCACAGCAGAAAAGCTGAAAAGTCCTTGACTGTACTGGCAGCAGCTACAAACATCAGGATGTGATCCGCCTGCTCGTCACAAAAGCAAAACACAGCCTCACATAGCTGCTCTGAAGAAAGTTAACTCTGTCCCAGCTGAAACCAGGGCAGTGTTTGACAGAGCTGTCTGGTGCAGATACTAAATTTCCAAAACTGTTTTTTGCAGAAGCAGCACTAAATCTCTTTGAGGAACTACAGGATGAGGGGAGTGAAGCTGATGTATTTTTTGCATTGTTTTAGAAATTCCAATAAGCATTGGGTTGTGCGTGGCTTAATAGCAATCTGATAAACATAAATGTTTCTGTTGAATTTTTAATTTAAGGTGCAGAAAACCTGTGCATCAAGTTATCAGAGAAGCTTCAGTCAAAAACGTCAAGCAAAGTCATCATTGCTCACTTGCCACTGCTAATTTGCTGTTTGCAGGTCTGTCTTTACGGTATTTGACATTACTGTATCAGTGAGTGAGAGTTTGGGGAGTTCTATAGGTTGCGGGAAGAACACTTTTTTTCCGCTGTTTGTATTACTTTCCATCAGTGTGTTCTATGTTTTGATTTTAGAGGTCTGGTGTGGAAAACAGAACTGCAGTAAGCAGTGCTTTCAACATTTTCTTAGCTCAACTACTTCTTGAAGAGTAATATTCATGAGGTTTTTTAACCGGTATTTAATTTCTAAAATATTTAGCTTCTTATTCCATTACATAAACAGAATACTGGGACTGGCAGGTCACTGAGTTTTAAGACTAAGGCTTGGTTATTCTGATTTTTATGTCTTCTCATTGGGCACTTATTCATAGTCTTATAAATGTGGTGTTTTCTACCACATAGTGAATAATCAGGATTCTCTAAAGGTTGGAACTTGTCGAGTAACTTTATTTTTAGAGAGTGCAGTTCATTTCATGTAACTCCTGTGAAATCACCCAGGAAGAAAGCAGCAAAGCTTGACTGCCATGCAGCACTCTAGGATAACCTAAAAGAGTTACAGGATTGAAATGTCTAAATCTTCTGCTGAAAATTGAATCTCTCGGAACTCTGTACAGTTTGTTTTGGTTTTGGGTTTTTTTTTTGGTTTTTTTTTTTTTTTTTTTGTATTGAGCTGAAGTTGCAAGCTTATAGTTGAAATAAAAATTGTGCTGTTACATTCTAAATCTATGTTCCTTTTTTTTTTTTCTCTCTCTTTTTTAGGGTCTAGGTCGTTTGTGTGAGAGGTTCCCTATTGTGGTTCACTCTGTCATTCCATCCTTGAGAGACTTTCTTGTGATACCTTCCCCAGTGCTTGTGAAACTTTACAAGTATCATAGCCAGTATCACACAGGTAAAGGAAAAAAGGCCATGTTCCAAAGGACATGCTAGTGATTGTTATCCAACCTGTATGGCTTTTTGATGCTTTTGGATATTTTGTGGTGATATAGCTGTAGGGGAAAATGGAGATGCATTTGTGATTTTTTTTTTTTTTTTTTTTTTGGAGGTGGAGAGGAGGAATGCAAATCAAATTCTGGTAGAAGTGTATCTAAGGGCAGACAGTGTATATAGAACTACATTTTATCCTAGCAGCAATATTGCTGTGCCTCTTCTGCTGAAACCAGGGTACTCTTATCTCAAGCACTTTTGTCCTGAGATCGATCACCAGCAGCTGTAGTGTGGTACTGCGGTACTGGAGGCTGTATGTGTGTCAGCCTCCTGCACTCCCCTCAGAGCAGTTTGCACGTCGGCCTTCAGAAACCTCCAACAACAGAGCTTCTCCAACCTGAGCCAGTGCATCATTATCCTCACAGTGGGGGAAAAAAAAAAAAATATCCAGTTGGCCTCCTTTGTTTCAAGTTATGGCTGTTGTATCTCATTCTCCCACAAAGCCTGTTTCTGTCTTCTCAGTAACCTACTTTACGCTTTGGAAGACAGCCGATAGTCTGTCCAAAGCTGCCTCTTCTTCAGGCTGAACAAGGCTGTGTTCCCCAGACTCTCCATACAGGTCCTGTGCTTCGGACCCATGACCGTCTTGATGGCATTTGGCAGTTTTTTGTTGTTGTTTTTATATTGTAATACCAAATTGTGATTTCCAAAAATAAAACATTCAATTTAAATCAGTTGCTAGTTCAGAAGCTGTATCGTAATGCTAAAGCAGAACAGGTAAAATAACTAACTAAATTTAGGAAGAATTATTTAGGAAGACTTGAGTGCACTAATATCCTGCATGGCTAGTGACAGCACATGCGCTTCCAAAGTTCTTCAGCTCGGCTCTCCAAGCTGTAGAGTAGGCTACTTGCACTCACCAGATACTGCTCTGTGTGTGTGCGCGCTCATCTTGGGGAAAAAAGCTATTTCCAGTGGTGTTGATTGCTATACTCTGTGTTCTTAGTAGGTGGCAATGACATCAAGATCAGCGTAACCAACGAGCATTCAGAGTCCACTCTAAACGTAATGCCTGGCAAGAAAAGTCAGCCATCCATGTACGAGCAGCTGCGTGACATTGCCATAGACAACATCTGCAGGTAAGAGAGGCTTGCACCGTGTGGAACGTGTTCTATTTCTCTAGCAGAAAAGTATTGTGACCGTTTAGAAGGTGCTGCTATGAAGGCTTTTTGTCTTTTTTGATTATGATTTCATTTTTCTTAAGGCATCTCTTGGTTCTCTTTATGTCCTAATTGTAAAATAATAATTCAGTCTCGTTGCTCTGCTTCCCTCGTATGTAGTTAATGCTAATCACCATTTCGATCTTCAGCAGGGTTTTTTTCTGCTTAGATTATTGTGTTGAGTGAGCCTGTAACAGAAGGTTTGTTATGCACTCAGATGTGGGCAATGTAATGATTATCCTTCTTTCTGGACAGCTGCAGAGAGATGGAAGGAAAACAAATAGTTGGTGACTAGAGACTAAGAGGTTGAATTTTCAAAAGTGGTGGATTCTAACTACCTTATTGCATATCCCCATTGTTGTTGTTGCTGGAGAAAGCAGCAGTAGAAACTCTGCTCATTTTTTAAAATAGATCTGCAGCATTCCTAACCAATCAGTTCTTACACTTCAGTATAGACTTTATACCTGGTGTGGATTTACAGTAGTAAAAAGTTCAGTGTTTAATTAATGCATTTTTTTTTTCCTCTGGCTGTTCTAGCAAGTTTTCTGTTGATTGTTATTCCAGGTGCTTGAAAGCAGGCTTGACTATAGATTCAGTGATTGTTGAGGCCTTTCTTGCCAGTTTATCGAACCGTCTGTACATCTCTCAAGAGAGTGATAAGTAAGTTGTTAGTCAAATCAATTTTTCCTTCGCTCAATGAACCTGTAGCTTATTCAAAGATATAAATACGGGCAGCATTATTTTAGAATTAAGTGTCTCTGAGATTAGTGAGCTTGTATGCAGGGTCACGGTCTTCCCATGCCAATCTTTGCAGAGCTGAGCCCTTGTTTTCATACTGAGAGGGATGGGTTCATTTTTATCTGATTGAATCAGCAAATCTTTGGTTAGTATTAGCCAATTTTGAGTCCTAGATTGAGTGATACTCTCTCTGCTGTATTCTTCAGATTTCAGCTATATTTTGTGACTTGATACAGCTTGTCACTTGGGGCATTTGACTCAATTTTTAAGAGCTCGCCAACCAAGAAACCTCCAAGGGGACTGTGTTGTTTTGCAGGTCACTTTAGCTCTTTTCACTGTTTTTTCTAGAACAGTTTGTTCATGCATTAGTGTTGGTGTCTTGGATGGTGCATTTGTGGGGGTTTTTTTGTATGTTATTTGTTTTGAAAACCAACTTGTATTAAAAACCAACAAGTGTTTCTCTAATGTGAATGTTGGGAGTAGATGAGTATATAGAGTGGCGATATTAAGCTGTTAATGATGTTTAAATTCAGTATATGAACTGTTTCTTACATTAAATGTAACCGTACTTGAAGGTCTTGATAACTGGTCAACTGTTACATATACGGTTTGGGGGTTTTTTGTTTATTTTTTAACAGGGAAGCTCATTTGATTCCTGACCACACAATTCGTGCTCTAGGGCACATTGCAGTGGCGCTGAGGGACACCCCAAAAATGATGGAACCCATCCTACAGATCTTACAGCAGAAGTTTTGCCAGCCACCCTCTCATCTTGATGTACTGATCATTGATCAGCTGGGCTGCCTGGTCATCACTGGAAATGTAAGGAAGGAACTGGCCAAGAGAGTGCCAGTTCATTATCCCTTTCCTTTAGTAAAAAGGAAACATATTTTAGAAACCGTGTTTGCAGAATTTTTTAAAGTTTTTTTCTTTTCTTCACCACAGGTGTATTCTTATACAATCCTCATGTTTCTGTGACATCAGAAATTAATAATGTATAAGGGGCTGTCCCTGTAAAGAAGATTAGTCCCCACAGAAAATAATAAAAGTTTTTAAGAATTACTGAACCTATACAACCCCACCAGATGCAATGTTTCCTAAAGTTATTAAGAAGTTTATAATCTTGCTGTGTATCTTGAACACAGCACATTATCTTTTTCATATCAGTAATTAACTTTCAAAGTCTTGTAGGTCCATACCTTTTAAAGTATAGATTGCCTTCTTTAGTCATACAAGGATTAACTGACTTACCTTTTCCAAATGTAATTTGTGTCTCTGAGTAAGCAATTAATTGCCAGAACTCAGAAGCCTGAAAAAAATTTTTCATCAGACAGAGTTAAATAACTTAATAAATGTTGTATAATTTGGGCAATTAAAAACACAGATGAAAGCACTTCCACCATGTGTTTTATGGAAGTTGAAACTTTTTCTCAGGCTATGACTAGATACCCATCTGAAGAACTTTGTAATACTTAGTGTATTTACAGGGTTGTTCTTTAGAGAGATTGTATTCAATAAGCTCTGCTTAGTGACTTGGGTTTTGGTTTTTTTACAGCAATATATTTACCAGGAGGTGTGGAATCTGTTTCAGCAAATCAGTGTTAAAGCAAGCTCAGTTGTTTACTCTGCCACAAAAGATTACAAGGATCATGGATACAGGTAACACTTAGCTGTGTACCTTAAATGTATGAATACTATATCAAATTTTTTTTATTCTGTGTTGGGGATTTTCACTTTTTCCCAGTATAAGTTTTCTAACAAGGTTATAAATAAATACTGTTATTTTTCTTTGATGTTAAAAAGTAATATATTAGTTTAAAGATAGCAGCACTCGATAATGTAGAGATTCCTAAAAATGTTTTTCACTACAGGTAGTACTGATTTTTTTTTTTCCCCCTCTCTAAGGAGTTAATGTTTGTAAATGATAATTGCCATTGATGACTTATGTTATCTGTAACTAGAGTAATTAATCTCTTATTCTAGAAAAGCTAGTGAAGTTCCACTGGGTTTTTTGTGTGTGTTATGGTTTTGGTTTTTTTTAAATATGGTCCCAGTACTTATTAGGGATTAAATGCAAACCGTTAATAATGTGATTCTTATTATGTAAGTATACATTTTAGTCCCTGTTATAATTAAAGATTCACTGATTTCGGTGGCAGTTGGGGTAGGCTGGATATATTTTAATTTAGTATGTGAGTAACTGAGAAGACTATTCCTGTTTTAACATACTGGCTGACCCAGTGCAATCTCAGTTTTAACAATAACTGATACTAGTTCTGATTCTGCTTAAGAGCTTTCCCAGTCCAGAAGCACAGCCCTTTGCTGCTTCTTGTCTGTAGCCGTATCTGCTACAGGAAAGTAATTTCCTTTTGGCTGTGATAGCATAAAAAATGAGATGTCCTCCAGAGGCAAAATGTACAAATAGTTTTTCACTCAAATACTGATTGCATTTCAATTATCAGTGAAGTGATGTGCCACTATTCATGAAAACAGGAAATACCCCCCCCCCAAAAAAAAAACCAAAAAAACCAAAAAAACCAAAAAACTCTGAGTGAAAAAAATGTCAGTAATCTTATTAGGAGAGTTACTATCAGCATTATGAAGAAAGCACTGAAATAGAAAACTTTGAGGAATTCCCTGTTTGTAACTGCTCTTTCTTCTCAGGCACTGCTCCTTAGCAGTCATTAATGCCCTAGCTAACATCGCTGCTAACATTCAAGGGGAACATCTTGTGGATGAACTACTGATGAACTTGCTGGAACTGTTTGTTCAGCTTGGGCTAGAAGGAAAGAGAGCTAGCGAGAGAGCAAGTGAAAAAGGACCGGCACTGAAGGTCAGATATTCGCTGTTTTTTAATTGTATGCAGCTGTGTGTTTATACAGATGGCACTACTGAACATAGTCTTCTGAGTGTCTTTGGAACCCAAACCATGCCCTTACACACACAGAAAAAAATCACGCTTCCTTAAACCTAAGGATGTGTTCTGATTGTGGAATATGAGTCCAGATCAGTAATGCCTTTCAAACACCTGACTGATCTGTGTGTAGTATCCGAGATAAAGCAGTGGTGTAGCTACTGTTCAGCTGAGTTTCATTCTGTGTGGGGCTGAGTGAACTGTCTGGCGTGTTCAGCTGTTAGAGGCAGAGAGAGGCTTCAAAGAGAAATACAGAGTGCTGACTACTTAACCCCTCTTACTAATTTTTGAAGTGTCTTTAGATGTGACAGAATTCTGCTTTCTAATTGTTGTGGTGTCATAGGATCATAGGAAAACTCAGGTTGGAAGGGACCTCAGGAAGTCATCTAGTCCAAACTCCACATTGAAGTAGCCAGTTTGTGTCATCCTGGTTAATCCTGAGCTGCTGTTATGCAGTTGCATATGCATCTTCGTTTTTTCGAAGATCCAAGTTGATGCAGGCCTGTGTGTCTAGGCTTATAAAGGAAACAGTGCACTGAAGTGAAAATTAGAGATTTGAAAGAAATCTCGGATGATTTTTAGGAGTGCTTTGTTTAGAGAGTTAAGTTTATTCAAAAAGCATGCCCAAGAAAGAGAAGACTTGTCTCGTAGATTGATTGGTATGGTGGGAGTACTTTGCAGAAGAGTAAATTTGAATAGTTGCTTTAAAATAAGAGTTATTTTAAAATACAGTTTTTAATTGTGATTTGTAAAATTTAATACATACTGGCCTTTAAAAGTCTATGAGAAGGTCTGGAAGAGGAATGTCTTCAGATGCTAGCTGAATTTCTGTGGGAGCAGTTTATATGTGGTTACTTTATTCATTCATAATTCTCTGCCTTCTTATGTGAAGACTTTTTCACCTCACTTCATACTAGCTTTTCTTCCCATTTCAGTGAAGTATCCAGAGTACTCGATGTGCCTATTCTATTTAAGCAGCAAACAAAAAGCTTAGCCTTTCCCACAATATCTTCCTCTCATATTTGCTGTAAAATAGAAATGAGCTGTTAAGCTTGCCCTTTGCTCTTGAGATCTGTATTATCATTTGAAAAGCAAAGTGGGGTTGCTTCCTACTCGTCAGAAGTCAGACCTTTCCTCTGGCTATATTCCTCCCTAGTCTTCAAATGCTGGGACCTCTTGGCATTCTAAGCACTTCCTTAGGACACCTTTTAAAAACTCACGGTGTTTTATAGTGATTTTATGTACAAGAAATACACTTGTATGTTTTAGTAATTCTAATGTGTTCATAGTGGAAAGTTAAGGTTTTCTTGGAGATGCAGTTTGGGAGCTGCTCCCTGCTTTCTGGGGCAGATAGGGAACACTCCCTTCTGAAATAGGCACGTTTGCCTAGTACTAAGAGGAACAATGTCATTTTTTTTCCTTTTTGATCTCTTTTTTTCCCCCTCCTGTGTATGCTACACTTCCATAGTCCTAAGTTCTGTCTTATGGGATGGGTGAAGTCTCTTGGTCAATTCTTCTGAAATTAATCTGTTTGTTTTGAAGATAGACTGCATTTAATCAGAGATGTGCCAACTCTTTTAAAAGGGAACCAGGACATGTCTAGAATCTGCTTTTCATGAAGTCTGTGGTGGAAAATCTCTCTCTGTGGGTTTCATAGGTTCTTTTAACCACAGATAAGTGAGCTGAAATGGTGAAAACCAGATTGTAAACATTGCTCTGAAATGACACTATTCTAGATTAGGTTCCACACTCCTCCTTTTTCAGGGATATTTTTTTCACTGTTTCAGTTTTAGAATCACTATGGGAGACGAACTGCTGCACTGACAAAGCTGCCTACAAATGGAAAAGTATGTGATTGATGTAACGTGGACTTGAGCTAGGAGGCAGTGTTTCTTTATTATGAAGATCCTATAGCAGTTTTTACTAGAACACTCTTTATTCAATGTAGAGTAAAAGTTATGAAAGGTATTCTGAAGACTGTGTTACTTCATTTTCAAGAAGAGTTAGAATAGGTAAAACACTGCACATGCTGTGCTCCCAAACAAAAGCAATTTTTTTCTTTTATAGTTGTCAGATAGTTTGCCTGTGTCCTATGCTTCTCAGCATACCTTTTCATGGACTTGAATTTGCTCTCTAACCATTAAAATGCTTCAGTGGATTATTTGTTCAGTTTTAAATCAGATCTTTTGACCGTGCAAAAGTGGCTTCTCTGAGGGGAAGAAATTTTTTTTTTTCTGTTGCTGATAGTTAACAGAAATGTCCCCTAAGTATGCCCAGGGATGGAAGTAATTGCCTACTCTTCATCCTCAGTGTCATATATTATCATAAAGGGGCTGATAATCCATTTTTAGAATAAAAATGCTGGGAGAGAAGTGGGTTTTCTGCAGTTTTGTCTGTTGCCTGGGTTCTGGCTATCTCAATTAGCTGGCATCTGTACTCTGACTCTGCAGCAGTTTGTCACGTGCAGTGGACTGTCCTGAAGCAAAATAATTACAATGATTTTTTCCAGTCATTCCTACCCCTTAGAGTGACTGGAGTGGTGTTCTTTTTATTCCCTTCAAAAATATTTAAGGGTCCATCTTCATTTTGCTTTATCTTGGACACTACAGGAAAGATAACTAAATGTGTTTTAGTTGGGTTGTATCATTATTGTTTCATCTGAAGACTATTTGGCACTCTGTCTCTCTCTCTCTCCCCTTTTCATCTTTCTTTTTTTAAAAAATAGCTTTCTTTTGGTTTATTCGACTTCATGCAAAGCCATACCCTGTTAGCATGTCTGCCTTGCCTCCCCTCTGTGGCACCAGGGGTCTCTGTACCTGGTGTCTCTCTGATAAGGAGGCAGCTGGAGAGTTCTCTTCCTCCCAAATCCAAAGTGGAGGGATAGGGGAGGTAGGG